CATCAGGAAAACAGCGGGCTCCTTATCAAGTACTTTTTAGTGCTTATCGCTTTTTCAGCGTTATTCAAGCACGAAATAAGGACAGTAAAAAAAGAGCAAAACAGTAGGTCCTTCTGCTGTTTTGCATGCTGCTTTGCGCTTTTCTGCGCTTTTTCTTACTTGTGGTCGTTTGGGCAGATCAATCAATTTGTATTAGCTAGCGAGAAGCAAGCATACAGTGCGTATAAGTACCGAAAAAGTGAAAAGAAGGGATTAAAAGAAATTGAGACCGTATGAAATGCACGCTGTCAAGCAGATAATAAGATCATAAAAGGAGAATACGAATACGAAATTGAGCGGGGCGATAACGAAAACGGCGTAGAAATGGATGAGAGCGCGAGAGCCGAACAATAACCAGCAGAGAAACGAGGGATTACGAACCGGGGGACGAGCGAGAATCAGCTGTCATGATGTCGCAGACATGATCGTGAGTGGCGAACGTGATCCTAGGATAACAAGCAGTTAGTAGGGAAAACAAGAGAGAAGAAAGATAGTACAGTTCTGCGGCAGCTTCGCGCGGGGATCAGCACGCGCGACCTCATCCATCATCGCATCCTCATCCTCGTCCTCGTCCTCATCCTCGTCGCCTCTCTTCAGGTTGCGGGCATGAGCTTCTGTGGCCTTGAACGCGTTGGCGAGGTACTCGTCATCCATGGTGACGATGCCGGACCAATACAAGTCCGTCGCCCACTTCCAATTCGCCTCCGAGAAGTTCCCGAGGGTGGTTGAAGACTTGCCGGTGCGCTCATTGACCTGCTTGCGACCCTTCGAGTGAGACTGGAGGAGGTCCTTCCCTTCTTGATAGGGCAGCTTTGTTTGCCGCTGGCCTGGAAAGTGACCAGGTCGTCGACAACTGCCTCGAGGTCACCTAGCTGACCGTCAGCAGCGAGCTGACAGGCGCGCTCGGCCTGAGAATAGAATAATTACTATTAGTGATGCCGATGACGGGGAAAAACGGGGCATACCGCGGCACACGCGAGAGTCATTGCACCACGCGGAGCATAAAACTCCTCGTCGTCGTCGTACTCGGGGACTTTGACACGGCCACGGATGGCGGCGCGGTGTGTTGCAAGGGTGGCGGCGTACAGCGGGCCCCTAAAGTTGCCGCTGGGTGGGGAATCGTCGTCCGGAACGTTCTCGAACATGAACACGTTCGCAACGAGCAGCCCACGGGCGTACTCGACGCGATCAGCCTCTGCATCCTCGTAGCCATACATATCCTCGGCCGTGAATGAAAGCGAGAGGACCGCCGAGGCAGTGGAGCCGAAGTTGCTGCGCCACTCGTTGGCCCTCTGCTTACACTGGGTACAAAGCATTAATTTAATCAAATTAGAACAACAGCTATGCTTACGAGATTGAACACGGCCCCATCGATTGCGTCCTGCTCCGGAGGCAGCTCCTCATTGTAGACCACGCGCCAGATGTTTCGGAGGGCATTGAGGACCTTGTTGTTTGAGGGGCCCCACACGTCCTTCTGACGGGCGAGCCAGGCAAAGAATGTTGGTATGAAAACACGAGCCCACCTACGATTGGTGTTGGCGTGTGAGGGCAGCGTCTTCTTATTGTACTTCTTCTTGCGCTTGCTGATGTTGCCGTCCTTACTGGCGTCTGTCGCCTTCTCGACGTTCTCGTCCTGCTTGTCACCTTTTTTGGGTTATGAGTGGATATTAGGGTCAGTCGAGGCCCGTCCTAGGGTCAGAGCTGGCGCTTTCCCACGCCTCTGACCCACAGCACAGAGGGCGCTGACCCGCGGCGCTGACCCAGGGTGCTGACCCACAGCGCTGAGGGTGCTGACCCAGGGCGCTGACCCACAGCACTGAGGGTGCTGACCCAGGGCACTGACCCTCGCGCCACTCCGGGCTGACCCTCGCCTTACTATAGAGTGACCCTGCCCTGCTATGGACTGACCCTCACTCGGCTACAGGCTGACCCTCGCCCCATTTTGGGCTGACCCTCGCTCCGATAATCCGAAGACTTGACCAGAGCAGTCACATCCCTTGCATGATTGGCGTAAACACAAAGACATGCAGCTGGACA